ACCTTGTAGTTTGTGTCCAGCGAATGCTGTTTTCCATGACTTCGTCAATGGTGAATTTAAAGGGGAAAGGTGACAGCAGGCAACCTTGTCTCACACCGCTGGAGATATTGTAGGCCGGCGACCAGTTTGCCATAAACCCTCACTCTGCCCAAACGATATTCGTACAGGGCTCTGATAATGTTTACGTATTTGTCGGGGCACCCGTTTCCTGAGTAGACAGTTCCAAAAGAAAACTTCAATCCACTGAATCGAAGGCACCTTTGATGAGATACACGGCAACGATGGTTTGCCAATAAACATGGTGGTACTCCAACAATTGACGTAAAGTGGAGATGTGGCAAATGCAGCCTCGATTTCACCGAAACCCGGCTTGCTCTTCACCAATCTGACTTTCACCAGTGCCAGTCAGTCTGTGGGAACGACAAGCAGGCAATTTAGAGGCGCTTGAGACCAGACTGATCCCCCTATGATTACCGCTTTCCGAACAGGGGCCTTCCTTTAAAATTGGGTCAACGACCGAGCGGCTCCAGTCTGTTGTTACAGTTTCCTGCTCCCACCGTTTCACTAGTGACTCGTGTAAATCATTTACAAGAGAAGGTCCTCCGATTTTAAAAAGGGCTGGGGGGTTCTATCTGCCCCTGCAACTTTATTCAATTTCAACAATCAGATCTCACGTTCGGCTTCTGCGCGTGAGTGCGTGTCCAAAGGAACGGCCCAAGGACAAGGGTAATCAATACCCGAAAAGGAAACTGATATCTCATATTGATTAAATTGCTGTGCAAACGCTCCAAGCGTTTTGACAAGCTGTGCGTTGGCTGTCCACTCTCGTTGCATATGGTCTTGCTAACACCAAGTCTCCTGCTACCCGTTTCCCGTATCAGACGGAATAAGTTACGATGGTTACCAACAGCAGCGATTGTTTCCATTTCCGAAGTACGATGAGACTAACAGGCTTTGCAGTCTCTTCAGGATAGCACGGAGTTTCGCCCTGAGATTTTTGCAAATGTTATTGTAATCGCTTCCAGCCGGAATGCATCGGCGAACATCCAAAAGTTCCCGAGACTGCGTAGAGATCCAGTGTCCAGATTGACAGTTTTATTTGCTACAGGAAAACATGCTGGCTACTAGTAACGTCTGGCGAATATGCGATCAGTGATATTCAACGGTGTTCAGTTGGCGCTTACTCATCCCGGATGCCCGTGTACTTTGATACGCATCTAGAACACCTGACTTCGTCAGTTGGCTGGTGTCTATGCACTCACAGCGCCGTTGCGGACGTTCGCCGAAACGTACCCGAAGGTCGGCACACACAATAGTGTGAACGGAATCCATGCTGGTGCTCCAAATCTAACGACAGTTTTGTACGCCGCCTCCAGTCGTAACTGATCGCGAGGTGATCAATTTGTGTTCATGGCTGGTTCGAGGCTGGTGGACGCCAAGTCACTCTTCTGTGGGTGTTGTGTCGAAAGTTTGCGCTCGAGAGAAAGAGACGAGCATTTTCACCTAGGTGTAGCAACCGTTCTCTGTTGTCATTACGGGAGCCTACACTATGTTGCCCGCACAGCTGAAGCTCATGAGAGGAAGCTTTCCCGACTTAGGCATTCAGATCACCAGCAAGTACCACAGTATCCGTACTCAGTCTGAGACGAAGGAAATCGTTAAGTTGATGGTAGAAATAATCTTTCACCATATCTGTACTACAGTTTGTGGGGGTGTAGGTCGCAATAATGAACAGGCACCGTTTGTCCTAGCGCGGCTTCGTAGTCTTGAACTGGCCACCCAATCTAACGGCGCGCACCCGGCTGTTAATTGGGATCCAATCAATCAGGGCAGCTTCAGCCTAGCGACTCAAAACAATGCCGATGGCGGCTTGAGCTGCATTTGAAGCTGCGTCATCATCAGACAGGCGCAATGAGAATGCCGCCAGCGTCGCATGTGGGGGATCGTAGGGTAAGCACGGCGCTCGACTCTTGCAGGCTGGTTTCCGACAAACCAAATATCGACCGATAGGATTCCGAATGTCCGAGCAAGCGCGCACTTCGAAGCATGGTAATTTTAGCTGGGATCGAGGACTCCAAAGGAAAACGGATGATTTGACGTTGTCCGTTTGGTTGAACATGGACTTGTTGACTGGCCTGGATTAACGCCCTGCGATTGTGTGTGGATTGACCTAGAAGACAAGTGACTATTGTTGCAAGACGGGGGAGGGCCCAGAAATTGGGAATTGTACACAGGGGGATAAAAGTGAGGTTGGAAAGGGACGCTGCGGATGAAAAAGCGCAAGAGGGGTATAAGAAGACGGGCAGGCTTGAGCTGTATCATCCAAGCCCATATCCACTCTGCTCGTTGCAGCAGATAGAGCGTCGTTTATTATCCTCTGCGGTAGCCAGAGCATCAAGAAATTGTTTAATGAAGGTCATCTGTTGATTGTTTTTCCGAGCTTAGTAAAGAGATCGCATAAGTTTCACCACCGTGCGAGGTGGCATCTTCAGTGCGGTAATATGCAGTGTATAATGCTGCTTATTGGATTGTCAGTCCGTTATCCACGGGCAGGTGACTTTTGAAGGTGGCAATTTCGATTTGCGCCACGTGATCTCTGCCCATTTGCTTCCGCGGCTGAACCATGTCTTGCGATTCGCCGGAGATCTTTCTTTCTGAGTTGATGGTACACGGGGTCGATGTCGATGCGCATGTTGATCGAGTTATTAGAGGAGTACCATGCTTCTAGGAACTCTCTTTCTTTCTGTGTTGTTGTTTTTGCTAAGATCACCGTTTTGTTCCAATTGAAGCTATGTCCCCCCTCATCCACATGCGCTGAGACAAGAGACGATGCATAATGTTTTTTACAAGCCCTCTGATGTTCTTGTATTCTTGTGGACAATTTCCTCCCTGTTTGTCCCACATAGTTCATTTCACAATTATTGCAATTTATTTTATACACGACGTTTGTTCGTTCTTGTGCATTCCTAATGTCCTTTGTGTTTGATAGTATTCTTCTCAAAGTAGCGGTTGGCTTATGAGCGACCACGATGCTGTGTTGTTTGAGCAATCTGACAGTCATTTCAGATATGTTCTTCATATACGGCAAAACGACCCACTTGCTTGCATGTGCTCTCGGCTCGGTGTTCATAAGTTTGTGGTTTAGACATCTACGGATGAAGCTGCGTGGGTATCCATTGCGCTCGAACGAATCGAATAGTTGTTTCTCTTCTTCCCGTTGGCTTCGTAATATTGCATGGCAGGATACTGTCAGGTTGCCCAGCCCTAGACAGGAGAACGATTACGGTTCTCATAAAAGATCTTTGGTTCAAAAATCTGATCGCAAGGTAGCGGGTTTACATGAACTACGCAGGATCTGTTTTAGGGAGTAAAGAGCCACCCTCACTCCAACCATAACCTGGAGGGCTAGGAGACTGAGTTTGTCTGGTCTCTGACCATTGATCAATCTGGTATCAGTGGGTCTGATGTAGTCTCGGCTGTCTATCAACTAGACAAAGAGTCAACAGAAAACCATGGCGAGCAGTGAATAAGAGACAGTCATTGCGTCCTAATCATCGTGGCATGGTAGGTTGATGGTGTGACGCAAACACAATTCAGGCTAATATGCCGCAGGAAGAATGGAACATTTTGACAAAAAAGTTAGTTGGTTTTTCACGCACCGATTTTTCTCCTTTTTGTTATTTTCAATGTCTGTAGTATAAAACATGTGAATCAATAAGATACTGTACACAATTTTTCCACTGATTCCAGTTGCGGGCCGTGTCTTCAGGAGTGCTAATCCATTGTCACTCCTCATCTTTGGGTCCCCCATCCTGGAAGACGTACGGATCCAACAACGACTAGGGTCTGAAGGTGCAAAACAGCACCACCAACATAGCTCAGTGGATCATTAAAGCACATAAACCATCGCACACGATAAGGTCTAGAGTGTCGTCGCAGTGGTGAACGTTTCCCACACCGCGTTTGACTTTGCTCTTTCGGGACTGGCCTGGAGGTGACCGCGTGCTTGTCGACTTTCCACTTGGCGCCAGCACATGAAACATCTAGCTGCAGTTGGTGGACTCCAACTTATTCCTGGATGGAGAGCCAAGGATGAGGAGTGCCAGTTATTTAGCACGTTTGAATACATGGTCTGCAACTGGAATCAGTGGAAGAGCTGTGTGCAAGAAAGTGAAGGGCCCACGAAATGTGGCTTGGTTCTCGGAGCTAATGATATGGACTATGTTTCGTTATGCGCAACAGGTGTCCGTTTTATGCAGGAGTGGTGTTCCTCTGTCGCACGTACATGCTTGCTACTTTATTGCACATTTGCAATAAACCGTTGCCTGCCGCTTTCGTTTAAACGCGAAACACCAAAGTGTGTCACGGCCATTGCTGACGAGACGGCGCCAGGTTTTTGATTTTCTTTCCTTTATGATCCCAGTTCGTGCCACTAAGATGCGAAACCAAGAATAGAAATTGTAATAAAGGAAAAACTCGAATATTTTATATAAACATACAGAGCCGTCGAGTTATAAGGAGACGCCATATACTAATACTTTGTACTGATCTTTTGCTGCCACGCACCGCAAACTGGACACCAAGAAATGTAGATATACGGAGGCTGACACCAGTACATTTACTCGCTGGTAGTGTGTTAATCGTGCGAGTGCAGAACCGGTCCGGATAGATTACTTGGAGTTGGCAAAGGAACATATCTTTTAACTTCTACGTGAAGTCTGCCTGATCACTGTGTAGACTATACAGTGGCTGTTGTTCACTCTGCGGCTTTGCATGATGGCGTTCTACTGATGGCTGGTACAAATACACGGATGATAGCTAATCAACAATTTTGATCTTGTTTTTACCATTCATCTCGGTGATTCAATTATCTCTGATAGTTCCTTGCGTTTTGTCTTCTTTGTCATTGGACCTTGCGGAGAGGATCTGTGAAAACCTTAAATGATATTCCTGCTGACCCGCTGTTTATGCATAGCAAGTTAACTCTATCGTTCATTTTAGCACGCCTTTTTGAAGAATTTGGTTTCCCTCCTTCACAATGGATGATGAAATGAGCGCATACCTGAGCAAAGTAAGTCTGCAAATCACCAGTGTATTATATCTCCATATTAGGTCCGCCGTAGATCCGCCTTTTCATTTAGACCAAGGATATACTTTCGAGGTTTGTTTGACTGTATATTTACCCTAGTTTTACCATCATTCTGCTCAAGGACTGCGCAGCTGCGACGCGGTAACGTGGCAAATTTGTCCTGTCCATAGTTGTCATTTCTTGACCTACTCGTTTGATGTTTGCCGATTGCAACCACTCCTCCGTTCTTACTTACTGGCGTCTTGTACGTTGTGACCTTTCCAGGACGTGTTTTTTACTTTTCTGTTTTCGCAGTTCACTTGTGAACGCTTCATGACTTTTGCCTATGTTAGAAAGCAGCTACTACTAACAAACACCTTTGATTTACCGTGCTTGTGCCTAGTTCGAAGACTAGCCCAACTTTTGGGGGTTCTAGGCTGGGCGTACATGGCATCAGCACTACGCCGGCACGCAACATGGACGCTTCGCTGCCGCGCAACTAACACCAATCGCACATGTGGGCTATGAATACTACGAGGGTCTCCCGGCGTCCCTACACAGGTTCGAACCCGCGCCCTTAGATGACAAAGCAGGCTTGTGATTCTTGAGGCTAGGGGTCGGCTCGGTGGCTGTGACAACGATCTTGACACGATGGCTCCCAGAGGTGAATTCTACCGCTGTCACTGAGTCCTACTGCCTTGCGCTTCTGCTTGTCAAATCAAAGACAAACTGGCAAACCACCTGCTTGTTTCGAGTAAGATCTCTTTCTCGTAGTGCAAAGCTTTGTGGTAACACTCACCCACATTCTTCACACCATTGATAGTGCCTATTCGAGGGGTCAGGTTGTGCATCCTGTCAGGGTTACCATGAGCACGAATAGATAACTATTTTGCATGTTTAGACCTCCCGAAATAGCTGGTTGTGGGTGGTTTGACGACTAAGCTCGTCCAATTTACTGAGCAGCTATTGGGTACCGTGCCTCAGTTAACAGACATCTTATCATTATCCTAAAAATGATCAGAGATGAATTACTAGTGGTTGGAACCTTCAAGTTACTCGCTTCTCAAAACATGAACATCGCTATGGTCATCGTTCAGGGACAAGGCGCCTACACCTTGTGTAGACAACATACCTGAATGTTTGCTTAGGGCATTAAGGTTTTCAGGTAAGTTCCCCTTCTCTCCCTCTTCTTATTCTTTATTTCATAGGTCCTCATGGTTGTATGGCAGCGAAGCATCAGTTCAAATGGCTGATGTACTGCTGTTGATGATGATGATCATCGTTCTGAAATGGTGATCGGTTTCTTTCACTGTGCATCGATCGCATTTATCTGAACTGATTCCTGACGCAGCCGTTTACCCTGCTTCACCTGCTGGTTGTCGAATTCTGCAGTTCTAATCTAGATTAGCTCATATTACCATTTATTGCGGATGACAATTGTCGACTCTGCATTGTCAGTTCACTTACCTTATTGCGCGCTCCCATAGAGCCTTATCCATGTCGCATCGAAATGTGCAAATTAGATATTTTCTCAGCATCTGGATTTATGAAGTTACATAGTGCTGTGTTACTGGCTAGTTGAGACATCAATTCATCACTGTCATTGAACTCAAGGTGAAATGAAAACAAAATGCTGGTCCGGAATTACCCCCATTTTATAAACGTATATGACTGATGCCAACTTGGCTTATATTTTCGGAAGCTCTCGTGTGTTGGTTTGATATTTTGAAGCGCTTACTAGATGTTGCTCGTTCCGAATGTTCTTTGTTCACTTCTACACGCCTTTTGCAATAATTGCGTTCCCTCTGGGATTCATCGTGAAAGGGTATACTTTAGCTGCAAATATTGAATGATTACACACTGTGGCCCTCCCGTGTCTAAGAAATAGGTTATTCTTTAGGAAACTAAACCGTTATTGGAGTAATGCTTGACTACTACCGCAGGACTAAAATATATCCGATTTCTGCCACGCAGATCACTCTGCGTTGTCGATGCTACTGTCATCAGCTGAACGCATTGGGCGCTACAGCGTCCACTGAAGGACACTCAGCCTATCCGTTCGTATGTAACCGGAGCTAGTTATATGAGCAGAAACGTTAGCCATCTGAGTTTCCGAATGAACAAGCACATGTCAAAATAGGTTCGATGCTAGACTGAGCAGCAAGCACGCCCAAGTCAGACTACGTGCAAACTCAGACCGCCGACATCTTTGATCTGTAAGCACTTGTGGACCTCGGGTCATCCGATTGAGATCCACACGGCGCATTGGATCCTTCTACGACAATTCCTAGCTCCTCCGGTTCTCCAAGGTTCTTGCGATAAGCCGCATTAAACCGGTGCTTTGTGTTGAAGCATCTATCGATCAGCCTTAGATGTAGCGTCAAGACATCCGTTTTTCCTCTCCTTTGTCTGCATGTATGTTTGTATTCTCAAACGATCGTATATGGTTTTCGGTAATCGTTATCGACATTGACGAGACGATACAAAGTGCATGCATCCGCCGAACTTCATCTTCTTACTTTACCCCTCAAATTACTGCAGAGAACTAAAAGTTTTATTTTGGCAACTGCTTATCCATGCATCGAAGTGTGACTAGCACGGCAATCTTAACTCCCGTCTCCAATGCGATGGCGACGACAACAGCAGCACTTTATAGTAAATGAACAACAAACATCGTTGTTAGGTTGAATAGTTAAGATTCAGAAATGAAACAATGAATGAAAGTGCACCGCTGATCACGTGACTGCACCATATCCGATAAGCTATCCAAGCACCAATTTGTTAGGTCCATAGTGTCCCATCCAGGAAGGGGAAATGAACCTACTCGGTTAGCGCTGAATATTCATTCTTCAAGGGTGCATAAAGCACATTCTTGACTTGACAGTTTTTCGTTTAGTTCCTTTTTTCTCTACGATGCCACTGACAAACCACCTCGGCTTTCATCCAACTAGGCATGGTGTTAACAAACGATGTGCACCGAACCAGTTCGCTTACAGGCAGGTATGGCATATGACCTAGTCAGCGAAGAAGTTTCGCGCTGAACAAGCTCAACATGGTCACTTGTGAAACAGCATATGGCGAAGCCCTGTTTTACACACTGTTATCCCACCAGATATGAGCAATAGTTCGCAGGGAACGATGTTCCCAAACACTCAACCTCCTTATGTTGTCTCTGATCCACTCGGCAACATTGACCGCATCCCAGCGTTGTAAGCCTTTCTCTTAGCCCATATGCCCTAAATCCCGCTGTCTCCACAAATGACCAAGGCTTTGGACAATTCCACTGACATTTGCAATGCGTGCGGTAGACTTGTGGGGATATGAATACCAAATGTGATACAGTCATCCAAATGAGTAAACCGATCGACCACTTCGAGTGGTTAGTATTTAGCGATAGTGAGAACCGTTCTTTAGCCGAACTTTGCACTTTAAGAAAGCAAATTACTGAAGTGTGCAGCGCTACGCGTCAGCCTGTTCAACAACAGCGCTTGCACAGCAGCTGCATGTAGCCCTATGAGGATTACGCTCTCTGCGTGTATTCGGCTGTCCAATAGCAAATCGACCCCAGGGTAATTAGTTATGGGCAGGTGAACATCTTTCATGACCATTTCGCCCACAAAGTGATAGATAACTAGAGAAATGGGCAACCCTGACACCCTCCACTTGTCGTGATGAACGCAGGGAGTTTCCCATTCACAGTTATCTTATGGTCACCAAGGTCGCTCCAGCCCGTTCTGACTGACCGATCAAGAAGGCAAGGTTGCCGATACTGATTTAATGATTGCCAGACACGAAACAATTACAGGATACCAACTGCCGATATTTGTATGTTTTTGGCGACCTAAACATTCTCCCAATAACTGTTTGATTGTCTGAGAACGTATTTTATCAGTCAACACGATGATTTTATTAGATTTCCGGGAAATGCTGAAATTTGGTCTGTGTAGGTTTTACTGATCCATTGCTTCGGATATGCTTCTCCTAACAAGTTGCACGGCTATTGTAGTTGCAAGATGGAGCTACTACTGTTGGAAACTTCTCAAATACCCTTTACAACGAAGCATCGATATAAGCATCAGGGTTTACCTCAATAGTTTGCATAACTGAGACCACCCGGATACAAATATTATTTCCGTAAGATATTCTGTGGTCATTTTTAAGGATGCGATTGATGGTTGACAATTGTCAGGTGGTGTCAAATAGAGCGGTGAAGACAGTCACTATCTGGTCCCCATCGCTCCTTGGCAGTGATGGTGGGAGACCCACTGGGCCAGGTACCTTATTTTGCTTTTAGCCTCACCAATAGGTATCGGATCTCGCGGATGTTGAGTCCTGTGACCACAAAGTCCGAAGGTGACCTTCAGATGACCTAGCTACAAATTCTGATACACTGGGCTGACTGAATTTATATTCAAGTCGTTCAAACCATGTACTCCGGTCGACGTGATTGATAATGTGTCAGCGGACCAATCCTTTGAGCTACCTTCTCACTTTAAGAAACGTTTCATGGACAAATGCGTCGAATAATACGGAACATTACCCGCATCTTCCCAATGACATTGGCTTTCCGCATCTTGGGAGCCGTCTGCTTTCGCCATTACTCGTGCCATATTTTGAGATCTCTATTCAAATGACGTTTCAGCGAGGCACGGCCAATTTGAAAGTGTCATCGTGGCAGTACCCACTTTTGTGCCTTAGTTCGGCCTATCGAAATTCCATATTAATCTACCATTCAGATGTATCGAGCAGCAACATGCGCTTTTTGCATTGCTCGTTGGATGCGATTTCAGCCTACATTAGGCTTATCCAAATTATTCATCAGTAACGGCTGATGATACAATTCGTCCGGATATTGCTGCTTTGCTGATTTGAAATACAAGTGTCTTCGAAACTGAACCCTTTACTGGAGCTGTAAGAGCAAGTGCTGGGTGGACAAGCACATGAGCGTGGACAGAATCGAATTCAGTGCTCCGGATCGACCGGCAATCTTGTTTGTCAGATACTGATGTGGCCAATTTGCGCCCAGATCACCCTGTTGTTTCCATAGCCACTATGTAACTCGACGTTGCAGCTGAAATATGCGACCGCCATTT